GGGCATAGTAGCAGAAACACTGCAGGTCCCCAAGCAGCAGCAGACAGTAGTCTGGAGACCACGGAGGACCACGAAGGCAGCCGGGTCCCACGCAGGGAGTCCCGCGTGGCCGGCAGGCCATGAGGGCCAGAAAGTCCAAGGCACAGAGCCTCATGGTGGGTGAAGACCAAGATGGGTAGAGAAGAGAAATGGTATATTTGTCACATTTCGGAAGAAATACTTCTGTTTTCCTCCCATTTAGTATAACATTAGCTGTAGATGGAATCTATAGCTTTTTTATATTCAAACACCATATGGAAGTCGGTTTTTTCTCTTGATTTTTAAATAAGAACATTTATGAGTAAGACTTCTCAAAGTCTTACTTTTGCCATATTACAAAGCCTCTGACACATTGTATTTATATTCTCAATTAATTCTAGAAAAATTTTAATTTCCTCTCCAATTTTGTCAGAAGCCCACTAGTTATTCAAGAGCGTATTGATCAATCTCCATTTTTCTGGAATTATTTTATGTTTTTCTCTTGTTATCAACTTTCAATGTTTTATTCCACCATAACCTGGTGAGAAAGTAAATTGTTTTAACTCTTTATATTTGTTAAGTGCTCATTTATTTGTTTGTTTTTCAAGACAGGGTTTCTCTGTATTTTTGGTGCCTGTCCTGGAACTAGCTCTTATAGTTCAGGCTGGCCTCAAACTCACAGAAATCTGTCTGCCTCTGCCTCCCAAATGCTGAGATTAAAGGTGTGTACCAACATTGCCTGGCTGTTTGGTAAATATATATTTTCTTGATAGCTTTAACACCAACTTTATCTCTTCAAAATAACTTTCAGTTTGTGTCTACTTCATCAGTTATCATAATCGCCATGATAGCTCACATTTTTGGCTTCCATTTACTTGATAAATTGACTTTCTTCTCTCTCAGTTTATACTATATATTTAAGCCATCTCTGGTGTCTTAGTTAGGGTTTCTATTGCTGTAATGAAACACCATGACCAAAGCAAGTTGAAGAGAAAGCAGTTTCTATGGCTTACACTTCCATATTGCTGTTTATCACTGAAGGAAATCAGGACAGGAACTCAAACATGGCAGGATCCTGGAGGCAGGAGCTCATGCAGAGGCCATAGAGAGGTGCTACTTACTGGCTTGCTCCTCATGGCTTGCTCAGCCTGCTTTATAGAACCTAGGACCACCAGCCTAGGGATGGCATTACCCAAAATGGCCTGGACCCTCCTTTATCAATCACTAATTAAGAAAATGCCTTGCGGCCTGATCTTATGGAGCCATTTTCTCAACCGAGGTTCCCTCCTCTCAAGAGACTATAGTTTGTGTCAAATTGACGTAAATCTAGCCAGCACAACTGACCTCTTGTCAACTATCAAGTTCGGCTCCAGCACAAGATAAAACTGTGGCCATTTCTGGAACACAGCTTCAGTGGGCTGACTCTGAGGAAACACATCCCAGAAGATCGCACATCAATGATGCTGGCTGGTCTTTTTCTATCTGCTACTACTTTCTCAGCTCCCGCTAACCAGCATCAACTGTGACGTAAAGCTTTTACCTCAGTGCTGCTAGTCTCTTGTTGATCACGGCTGACTCTTCAGTCCCAGGTGACCAGAATGGCAGAAGTTTAATTCAAATAAAAGAGCAAAGAGCCCCAAAAGAATCTTAAACTTTCTTCTGAAACTTCCCAAGCCAGGCCTCCGTCTTCTGCTCTACTCTTAACAGTCCTATCTCCCAAGCTCCACCTGACTCTCAGTACTCAAAGTCTTTTCTAGTCCAAAGTTCCCAAGTCTTTCCACATTTCTCCCAAAAACATGGTCAGCTCTATCACAGCAATACCCCAAAACGCTGTTACCAACTTCTGGGTTCCTCAAACCCCTACTGCAAAGTCAATAAATAATTACTATAATAAATTTAGGGACTAATAGCAAGATATTTCTGTATGTTTAGTACCTGCACAACTCATTTTTGAATATTTCAATTCATTGTTGGTTGACAAAGAACCTACATTACCTAGCTGTACCTAACTTCCCCCACCCTGTTTGGCATTTATAGAATGGTACAAAAATGCTTATGATGGTTTCCATGACTATTTTCCTTCCAGTTAAACCAAGTGCTGCCCAAAGGCCACAGATATTCTAATTGGTTGACGTAGTCATCCAAAGAGCATTGCTGAGCTTTCTTCGTTCCTGTAGAACCAGATGTCCCAGAACTAGCCCTTTCGGCATATAAAACAAAGCTGTGAATCACTCCTTATGAAACTGCAAAAGCTATAAAAAAATCCGAAGCTATATGATCTTTGCATTCTGTTCCTTACCCTGGGAAATCATTGCGGAATTCCAACAGTCAGCCAGCCTTCTGGGAAAGCAGTGGGCTGCCGAAACGTTCCCCTAGATGTTTCCGTCACGGTATTTGCCTTTTGTATTCAATAGTCCCCAAGGTTCCTAAACTCCCAAACATTTTCACTGCAGGCATCCTCTTAGCAGCCAGTCATCGCCCACTGCCACATTAATGATTTGAACTCTTCTAGACTAAAAATGGACAGAGGTACGCAGTGTGCTGCCGTCTATAGCAACACAGCACACATTTTTTTTTCCACATTGCTCTTTAAAGACAAAAAATCAGAGATGAGAGACAATGAGAAGAGGGAAGAGAACCACGGCTTGTCGTTGGCTGGGAAAGCACACACAACGAGTCTTGAGATAGGGATTGCCTAACTAGCAAATATAAATCATGTTTGGCCATGGAGTTCCAGGTTATTTGACAACAGCCATCGAATCCCACCTTTGGTGATAGTTCACTTAAGAGTCTGCATGTTAATCGATCTTGTAATCACGGCTACTTAGATGCATCTTTATATACAGATCCAACTGATGTCAGTCTTAGATTTGACTGACATGTTGAGTTCAGCATGCCATGTGAATGAGCTCCTGTTTTCCTCAGGAGGAGGAGCAACCATGCGTGAGCAGAATCAGTTCTATACTTGGACTCCCAAAAGGTAAAAACTTGCAATTTCTGGACCCCAATGTCAGCGGCAGCAGCTTTTCAAGCAGGTTTTGAAAGGAGCACGATTACCAGGTATTTCACCCAGAGAACAGCTGTTGTAAACTAAAGATAATATCCCCTGTAGTCACGAGTCACAGGAAAGTCCTTGTGAGATAACTGAGTCCCATCCCTGTTAATAAGTCAACACACTACGTACCACTTCAGAATCAATCTCTCTCTCTCTCTCTCTCTCTCTCTCTCTCTCTCTCTCTCTGGTTTTTCAAGACAGGGTTTCTCTGTAGCTTTGGAGCCTGTCCTGGAACTCACTGTGTACATCAGGCTGGCCTCAAACTCACAGGGAATCACCTGCCTCTGCCTCCTGAGTGCTGGGATTAAAGGCGTGCGCCACCACTGACTGGCTAGATAAATCTCTTGTTGTGCAAACCTGTGCATCAAAGTTTAGATCCCCAGAACCCACATAAAAGCCGGACAGGCATGACAACCCATGCCATCCCAGCAGGGAAGCAGACACGTGGGGTTTCCAGGACTAGCCAGCACTGGTGAGCTCTGGGCTCAGTCAAAGACCTATACTAAATTAATGCAGCAGAAGGCTATCAAGAAAACCACTGAAGGTGAACTTGGGGCCTCTGCACACTTGTACGCACACATGACTCACGTATGTGAATACGCATACATACACACCACACAAACACACATCAAAATATTTTCACGAGAACTTGGCCTTCTTACACACACTTGCAGAAATAAGGAGAGCGAAGTCATCTCAAAGCTTTATTCAAAAGAAAGAAAATGTAAATTAGTGGAAATACACTCTGAGAAATAAATCAGTCTGTCTTTGATTGGGGGGGTGGATGATGTTAAGGTAAAGATGAATGGCGGTATCGTGTGGTTCTCTGTTGTTTTTATGTGTTTTAGTTGGGGTTTCTGTTGCTATGGGAAAACAGTTACCTAAAGCAGGCTGTACAGGATGTACAAGGTGGAGAGAAGCATAAGATCAAACTTACCCGTAGGCTAACTAGCCAAAACTGGCCTCGAATTCAGTGATGCTCAGTGAGGCTCTCGCCGCAGTCTCCCGAGCATTGGGATTACAGAAGTGAGCTGCACTTTTGAAGGTTCTTGGGTAATTCCAAAGCCGAGCTAAAGTAGGGAGCCCCGTGGAGTGCTTAGGGCCTTCTGGAAGCAGGAGGGAGCAAATTCGTCCAAATGCGGACGCAGCTTTTAATACCCGGGAAGACTGGTGCTCCCAGCTGCAGTTTGGAACGCTATGGACAACAAGCCCTGGAGCCTGTCGCCTGCGTTTTCGTTCATTGATACACAGCTCTGGCGTTCAACCCAGATAAGATGACCGGCGTCTTTTCTTTTTCTGAGGAGTGAATGGGGCATGGAACCCACGGATTACCGCGATAAATGCAGATATAGGTTACGATATGCTCTCAGTAAATAACCTTATGAGCAATTCACCTCATCCACCACAGAAAAGACGGTAAGTGACTTCCAGGTGACCCGGTGTTATTTTTTTTTTAAAGATTTACTTATTTATTATGTATACAATATTCTGTCTGCGTGTATATCTGCAGGCCAGAAGAGGGCACCAGTTCTCATCACAGATGGTTGTGAGCCACCATGTGGGTGCTGGGAATTGAACCCAGGACCTCTGGAAGAGCAGCCAGTGCTCTTAACCTCTGAGCCATCTCTCCAGCCCCCGGTGTTATTTTTAATCCTAGCATCGGATCCCAGAAAGGCAATTGTTTCTGACTAGTCCTTAGAGAAGAGACGTCTATACATGCTCGGGTTGGCTGCCGGGCAGTTGCAGGACCTATGGGAACCTCCTTAGGCCAGCCCCATTCACCAGCCGCTTTCCCAAACAAGGTAGCACTTGGGACCAGCCCTGGATGACGTCAACCCCGTAGTCCCACCCGTCGGGGGCACGTCCAGTCTTTCACCCAGTCGCACCGCTCGCCAGAAGTCCTGACGCAGACTCCAAGCCCTCACTTCCTCCTTGGCTTCATCCATTTCGCCTCTGGGGGCGGGGCGAAGGACGGAGGGGAGGCGGTGCCGCGCCTGCGCGGAGGGGACTCGAGGGCCTGTCACGCTGAGCTTTGATCTGAGTGAGTGGAGGCAAAATGCAGGTGAGCGTGGCGTGGTCGGAACCCCAAGGCTAGTGTCGTTTGGTTCGGGGGGCTCGCGCCAGACCTGGAAGCAGGTCTACAGAATTACCCAGTTCGGCAGGCGGCGGCGAGGCCGCGAGGGAAGCCTGCGCAGGCGCACTGCGAGAGGGTGGGTGTAGTCTCGCCAGAGTCAGGCTGGGTGCTCCTGCTCCGGTGTGTCTGGCCCAGCAAATCTCTGTCCTTTGGGGGCCCCTGACCTTGGGGTCGTCCTCCTCCAGGTCTGATGAAGGCCTCGATTCTTCTGCCATCTAGAGCTGACTATCTAACGTCAGTATTTTTGTTGGGGGGTGATTTCCAGAGCTGAACCCCGGGACCAACTTCTAGTGTTAACTTCTAGTGTTAATGAAGAAAATCAGAACCTCTGAGGGTTGTTTGTTTGTTTTTTCTGTTTTGGCCTGGAATTTGCTGATAGTATTTGTCAAAAGTCCAAAGAAAGTGCTAGAAAACGCCTCAGAAATAGCCTCTAAGAGCAAAAATCTGTGACAGCCATAATCGTCACTGTCCAAGGCCCTGGCCCGTCTATGTCGCTGTGGTTAACTGCAGAGCCTTGATGGAGGGTAGGTGGGGCAAATAGTTGTGGGCTCCCCCATTGGAGATTGGAAGAGGTGGCCACAAACCAGGTGTGGTACCCCTGGAGGTGAGGGGAAAGTCCAGGAAGTGCTCTGGACTCTTCTGCATTGTCGATTCTTCCTCAGGTTCCTGCTTTAAAATGGCATTCTTCACCTTCTCTGACCATCTTTCTTAAAGGAAACATCATCTTTCTTGTGCCCTTTCTTGTCGTAATCCACCTTTTTGTGGTGACTTCTGCCGCGGCTGGTTCATAGTCCGTACGTTCCAGGGTCGGACCATAATAGAATTATTAGGCAGAAGGAACAGAGATGTAGGAGAAGTAAGAGACAGAAACATAGGGTAGTATCGGGAGGGACTTACAGTGACTACGAAAGTCGCCCGTGTTTAATTTCCATTTGCTTAAATACCCTGTCCCAAAAGGTAGGAGTAAGGTAAAAACTGCATTGACGTGATACAGGAAATGAACAGACCAGTTGAAGGAGTACGAGCTACATTCTTAGTTAAATATTCTATTGCCAGAACAGGACAAGTAATGCTCACAGCCTAGTCCAAAACATTCTGTAGGCCAACCACTCCTGGGTGAGATTCATAGTTATCTCCCTAAGTGAGTAGGGACCTAGTTAGATCCTTAGACTTTTGTTTGAGGTAGAAACAGATCTACTTCTTTTTTAGTTTTTTTCTTGAGACCGGTTATCTTCTGTAGCTTTGGAACCTGTATTGGAAGGAACTAGCTCTTGTAGACCAGGCTGGCCTCGAACTCACAGAGATCTGCCTGCCACCGGCTCCTGAGAGATCTCTAAACTTTAGGGGTCTAAAGGATAAATCTGGAGAACAGGCTGTCCCCGCCACTCACGATGGCTTATGTTTAACTCTAAATGCTAGGTACTTACCTGCAGCTGAGCCAACTCTTGCCTCCCAAGTGTAGTTAGGTATGGCAGAGGTTTGCAGAGGCCATGGAGGGGTGCTGCTTACTGGCTTGCTCCCCATGGCTTGCTCAGTCTTCTTTCTTATAGAACCCACGACCACCAGCCCAGGGATGGTGCCACTCACAGTGAGCTGGGCCCTCCCCCGTCAATCATTAGTTAAGAAAATGCCGTAGACAGGCTTCTCTTCTTACAGCCCCAGCCTTCTGGAGGCATCTTATGACTTGAGGGCCCCTCCTCTCAGACGACTGTAGCTCAAGTCAAGTTGACATAAACCTAGCCAGCACAGCCAGTAGTTGAGTTTTAGCTCTGCCACCTCAATTCAGAGTTTCTTATTTGCTTTCTTATTTCTATATAACCTAATATTTCCCAAGTAAGCTTGTTAATCACACTTCAGTCAAAGCTTGCTATTTTTTCTCTTTCACTCTGGCTGAGTCCTCTGCACCCTCATGCAATAATTAAATGTCCTTCCTCTCCAGAAAGCATCTCTGTCTGCTCTGTGAAATGTGGACCCTTTAATTCTAGGCCAGTGATTCTCAACCTTCTTAATGCTGTGACCCTTTAATACAGTTGCTTGTGTTGTGGTGACTCCCAATCATAACATTTTGTTGCTGCCTCGTAATTGTAATTTTGCTCCTGTTAAAAACCATAATGTAAATATCTGATACGCAGAATATCTGCATATATGTGGCAGCCCACAGGTTGAGAATCACTGCTCTAGGCCAACACCCTGTTTGTCATTGCCCTTGACACGGCTTAATAACATTATCTAGCTAGCGTGTGTGTGTGTGTGTGTGTGTGTGTGTGTGTGTGTGTGTGTTCACAGCCTACCTCGTCACCTTGACTGTAGTGGCTCCTGGCCACTAGCACATCCTTCTTAGTTACTGCCCAAATCAGTAATTTACCTGCTGTACGTGACCCAAGGCAACTTAGGGAGAAAGGGTTTCTTGTTGTTGTTGTTGTTTTTCTGTTTCTCCCGTGTCACAGTTCAGCATTGAAAGAAGTCAGGGCAGGAACTCAGACAGGAACCTCGAGGCAGGCTTGAGGAGCAGGGACCTTTGGAGGAATGTTGCTTACTGGCATTATTCCCTTTAGGTTGCTCAGTTTGCTTTCTTATATATTTCAGGACCTCTGGCCTGGGGGTGGCACCGCCCACAGTGGACCGGGCCCTTTCACATCTGTCGTCAATCAAGAACATGTCCCTGCCCCCCAGGCTTGTCTACAGGCTAGACTGATGAGACTTGAGATTCCCTCTTCTTATGTGACTAGTTTGTTTCAAGTTGAAACAAAAACAAAAACAAACAAACAAACCAAAAACAAAGCAAGTAGCCACTTAAACTTTATTGCAGGAATCACGTCACTGTGAGGTCTCAGAAACTTCAGGGGGCATCTCGAGTCCTCAGCTTCCTAGGCCTCAGGACTAGGAGACTTCAGAGGCTACCCTACAACCCCACAGTCCAAATCTGTCAAATGACCATGTGGCTTTATGGTCAGATTCACTTTAGATAATTTCATAGAAATTTATCATAGTTCTAAATACAATTTGTTTAAGTTATGAATGAAAATACTAAACAGAAGGTAGGTCAAAGCCTTGGTTTCAGTGTTGATGCCAATCTGCCCATCATTTCCTGAGTTTTGCGCTAAAGCTGGCTCCTCCTGGAGACTACAGCGGGGTAGGAGATCTTTCGATGCTCTCAGAAGTAGGCCTCAGAGTAATTTAGCTTGAGTTCCTCCCGGTTCGCCACCTTTCCCGTTTGTCACCCCACGTTGTGACTTCTCTCCTGGACTTTGCCCTCACCGTGCCCTTGTCTTTACTGTTCCAGGACCCCAATGCAGACACCGAGTGGAATGACATCCTACGCAAAAAGGGCATCCTGCCCCCGAAGGAGAGCCTGGCGGAACTGGAGAAGGAGGCAGCAGAAAAAGAGGAGCAGGCACTCCTCCAGCAGTCAGTGGGTGAGCTTCTTCCTTTGTTCTGTGTCTGTCTGGCTCTGGAAACAAGCTACCAACTGCTATAATTAAAGACCTTCTGGGCAAGAGCCAGAGCCGGAGCCCTGGCATCAGCATTGCCGGTGGTAGCCAGATGGGCAACTGCAGAGCGGAGAGCCAGCGGCCCCGCAGCCCACAGCCCTTATCTGTCACATGGGCACACGGCTTGCTGTTCTGACCTACTTTGGACAGTGCCGTAGAAGTTTGTTCAAGTTTGTAGTGTCTGTCCTCTCTCGAGGCTGTGCCTTATTAATCTGTGTGGAGTGGTTAAGATTATTGACTTAGAATAGTTTACTTAGTTTGAGGAAGCTTAAGATGTTTGACATAGTACATGGCATCAGAGAGAGGGATTTTCTCTAAGTTCTTACCACCTGCATCCAATTCTCCCAGCGTTGGTCCAAAGGAGCCTGATACCTTCTGAATGAGAATTCCCGCGAGGCCAAGGCATCCTAATGGCAGACAGGTGCCTGGCATGGGAAGGGTGGTGGATACTTCCCGACTGAGAGATGTTGACCAGCAGAGCTGGTGGTACTTTTCCCCCTCTTCGTACATGAACGCCTGTTTAGAGGAAGATGCTGTAAGGTGAATCCAGACTATGTTTACTGAATAATGACTTTTGTGTATTTCGTTAGCAGCTGAAGTGGAAGGAGTGAGGCTAGGAGGGGTGAGGAAGTTTGGATTGTGGGATGGAGAGTCTTCTTAACTGGGCCAGAGGGGACTTCACTGAGATGATGTTTGGGTAGACCTGAAGGAGGCAAGGCGAGGGAAGCTGCTTCAGCAAGTGGAAAGCTGGCCAGGACCCTAGAAAATCCTTGAGGGGGTCTTCGGCAGGGAAAGCAGTGGAGAGTTCACAGAGCCTCCCAGAGCCTGCCCACTTGGAACCTGACTCTCCTGGTAAAGAGCCCAGATTTTTTTGCCAAGCAGGTGTTATTGGAGGTTGAAACAGAATGGCATGCCCTATATTTAGCAGTACCATCTTACTGAGCATAGCACGGCTGGCTGGTACGGCAACAGGAAGATCAGTCTGAAAGTAATGCAGTAACTCAGGCAGGAGATGCCAGTAGCGTGGACTGGCTGCTGCGGTGGTGGAGGCGAGGACAAGTGGTCAAAGCTGTCTGTTTTGAAGGAGGGCCAGCAGAATTGCTGATGGATCACTGTACTGTGTGAGTGAGAGAACAGGCAAGGAAGCCTGCCGGGTTTGAGCAGTCGGAGGTGTAGAGGCTTCCAGAGCCAGGCAGTGGTGCTCGGGTCTGAGATGGGGTGGGAGACAACCCCACGTCTAGAGCCAGCCTCCCAGTGAGCACACACAGCACAGGACGGTTTGCCAGTGTAATACACAGTCTAGGCGACATGGTGTTAGGACATCCGGCCCATGATGTGTCACTGCAGACCAGAGCAGGCAGCTTCAGGCAAACAGGACTCTTGTCCTGAATCTGGGAAACTTGTCATTTGTATCTTTGTAGAATAACATGACATTAAGAAAGGCGGAGGCAGTTCTGTCTTTCTAGAGTACCTTAGTTCTTGTCTCAGTGGGCTGGACCTTCAGGAGTTGTGTGCACACATGAGATGTCTGTTTGTTCATCTTTTCTTTTTTATGCTCCTGTCAATGGAACTAAATCCAGTGAAAACGTATGAAGATATGACTTTGGAGGAGCTGGAGGAGAACGAGGATGAATTCAATGAGGAGGACGAACGAGCTATCGAGCTGTACCGGTTAGTGCCATCCGCAGGGGCTGCATGGCCGTCTGCGTGACACCAAAACGTGTGTCCTTTGAACATCAGGACAGACTTTAACAATATTACACATTTCAACAGACTGGTCTTACTTAGACTTTTACTGTGAGGCAAGGCAACCAGCCTCACAGGGATTTTCTTCCGAAAGATGTGCGTGTGTGTGTGTGTGTGTGTGTGTGTGTGTGTGTGTGTGTGTGCGCGCACACGTGTTCATCTGTGTATTTAAGTGCATTCTTCCTGTTGTGCAGGCAGCAAAGGCTGGCCGAGTGGAAAGCAACTCAGCTGAAGAACAAATTTGGAGAAGTTTTAGAGATCTCAGGGAAGGATTATGTTCAAGAAGTTACCAGAGCCGGCGATGGCTTGTGGGTGATCTTGCACCTGTACAAGCAAGGGTGAGCTGATCTCCACTTGTTTGTAAAGTGTTGGTTGACGTTCTCTTCAGCCTGTATGGGGCTTAGCCTATTGAAAGGTTTTGTTCTTATGTTTTGTTTGTTTGTTTTTTTGTTTTTTGTTTTTTTACCTGAACTTGTGTTCTCTGTTTTTGTGGTTGATTGGCCCAACCCTTCCTGACTGAGAGGTGTTGACCAGCAGAGCCGAGATCCTTTTGCCCTCTTCATATAGAATGTTTTTTAGAGGAAGATGTAAGGTGAATCCAGCCTGTGTTTACTGAGTGGTTTTTGTGTGTTGGGTGTTCTGGGAAATGGAGAGTTAGTGGAACACAGCCGGACAGAAGTCTGTGTTTCAGTAGCAGCAGAATTAAAGGGAACAAGACTGGAAGGGTGAGGAAAGATGGACCATGGGATAGAGAGTTGTCAACTGGACCAGAGGGGACCTCACTGAGATGACGTTTGAGTACACCGGAAGGAAGCAAGATACGCTCAGCTTTCATCTTAAGCCTTTTAAATTAATATTTGTAAGTAATGTGTGTCTATTAAAAGCATAGAGCAAGGACTTTCTTTTATTAAATTTCTTTTATTAAAAAAAAGAATTCTGCCAGTTGGGGTAGTACACGCTGGTATTCCCAGCATGAGAGGCTGAGGCCAGAAGACTGACAGAGTCCAAGACTAGCCTGGGCTACGTAGCGGGTTCAAGGGCAGCATGGATAACATGGCAAGACCCAACGCTTAAAAAAACAAAAAGCACAAAACCCAAATCAAGTTATCCCTCCATGTAGAGGAATTGGCATTTGAGAGATTCTGAGAACAGTGACCTACAGACGGCCAGGGTGACCTTGAGATAACTGCGGAGAGATGCGGCCTCTGGTACCTCACAGGCCCTTCCTTCACCTGCACATTTGTTTAGAAATCACTTAGAGGCAGGACATCCTTTCTGACCTGTTTCATACACATCGCATTGTGTGTTCTCATCAGTGTTTTCTAAACGACTCTTACAGGAAGAGATGGCCGCTTTCAAAACTATCAAAGCTGTTTTCTCAGACTTATTAAATTAAATTGAATTTGGAGTTACTCACTTTCTCTGAACACACTAGAGTGGATTATTTGAGAACTGTGAATTCATTCTGCTGCAGCAAGCATCCCGGGAAGCCCTTCTGAGGTTTCTGTGTCAGTAGCAGGCCCGGTGGGCACTGCCCTGTCTACTCAGAGGTCACAGCTGTTCTCCTTTCTCTTCCTGTGTCCAGGATTCCCCTCTGTTCCCTGATAAACCAGCACTTGAGCGGACTCGCCAGGAAGTTTCCCGACGTAAAGTTCGTCAAAGCCATTTCGACGACCTGCATACCCAATTACCCCGACAGGAATCTGCCCACGCTCTTCGTCTATCTGGGCGGCGACATCAAGGCACAGTTCATTGGTCCTCTGGTGTTCGGAGGCATGAACCTGACGATAGATGGTGAGGGGCTCTCCTCTCAATGGCGTGAGGGTGTGGTGAGAGGTGGCAGGGACACTTCTCACGGGGAGTGCCAGTTTCTTAGATAGTTGTCATGGTTTGTGCTGTTTACCTCTGCCTCTGTATGGCTGAGCCGAGTCATGAGGAAGAGAGCTGGGCTCTGTTGTTCTCGGTGAGAGGAGGCACACTGAACACTTTCCTTTTCTTCATAGTAGCATCAAATATATTTCACTCATCTGGTTGAAGGTTTTGCTTTTAGATGTAGCTTAAGATCACAGTTTTTGTTTTTAATTTAGTTTGATGTTAATAATACTTGCTAATATGTGTAGTCTTAGTTGACTCCCAGTAGGTTTTGTGTTTGTTTGTTTATTTGTTTTGGTTTTTTTGAGACAGGATTTCTCTGTGAAACAGTTCTAGCTGTCCTGGAACTTGCTTTCTAGACCAGGCTGGCCTCGATTTCACAGACATCCACCTGCCTCTGCCTCCTGAGTGCTGAGATTAAAGGTGTGCACCACCACTGCCCAGCTTTTTTTTTTTTTTAAGTATTTACTTATTTTATATGCATTGGTGTTTTGTATATTGGTATATTGCCTGCATGTGTGTCTGTGTGAGGGTATCAGATCTTGGAGTTACAGACAGTTGTGAGCTGCCATCTGGGTGCTGGGAGTTGAACCTGGGTCCTTTGGAAGAGCAGCCAGTGCAGTGCAGTGTTCTTAACCACTGAGCCACCTCTCCACTTTCTTGAGAACCAGTGTAATCTTGTGAGAAAGACATTAGTCCTCTTAAATGCCCCAGCTCCAGACTCCACTGTAGGGGACAACTGAAGCCAGCATCAGCTCTGTAACTAGCAGTTCTGGTGAGACAGCCATGTGTACCTAGCAGTTTTGGTGAGCCAACCATGTGTAACTAGCAGTTTTGGTGAGCCAACCATGTGTAACTAGCAGTTCTTGTGAGACAACCATGTGTGACTAGCAGTTTTCTTGAGACATATAACGTGTAACTAGCAGTTTTGGTGAGGCACACCAGGTCTAACTAGCAGTGTAGTTGCTGCTCCTGTTTCTATTTCCAGAAAAGTTCTTACTTGAGGGTTGGTACATCTTCATATACAGTGCCTGTAAGTGAATAGCACTGTTAGTGCACGTGTGTGTGTGTGTGTGTGTGTGTGTGTGTACATATAAAGAAGTACATTCTTGAGTTAGTACGTCTGCATATTCAATGCCTGTAAGTGAACAGCAGTTAAATGCACATATGTGTGTGTATACATATAAAGAAATACATTCTCGAGTCGTGTCAGAAACCTTACTTTTGTCTTCTAAAGAGCCTGTTCACAACATTCAACCATAATACCTGGAGCTAAAAATACTCAGGTATATATGACCATCTTGGTGGCGCACTCTGCCCCTGGCATTGCTGAGGTGTGGCTCATTTTTAAAAAAAAAAAAGAAAAAAGCTAAGTATTAAGGTTATTAAGGTGTACAACATGTTCAGATTAGGAAGACAGCATCAAGACTGCAGTCAGTTGAGCTCATTGGTGCTTAGATACTTTCTAAGCATCTTTCAGGTATGTAGTTCATTGTTAACTGTGGTCACCATACCTTAGGCTCCCAAAGTGTTTCCACTTTATGTTGGAAGTTGTTTTTTTTTTACCATTTGACCATCTCGTTTTATCTCCAGCCCCTGGCAACTATCACTCAAACCCTGTTTCATGGAGGACTTCAACGTATTTTTAGGAACTAAAAACTGGCCCTCGGTTGTAGTGGAGTATTTGATTAAGAAAGGCGAGCTACCTGGGATCTTTGATGGCAGTTAATTTTGCTCCCAAGGTCTCCCACTGTGTGGCGGTCATTTCACTGATTGTAAGAGTGGAATTTAAAATACAAGATCTTGTTCTTGGGCACCTCGTCTTTGTATTATGTATTTATTTATTTATTAACACAAATGCTTTGAGTTGAATGGAGAGGATATCAGACATGAAGCTAAAAATTTCCTTTTGTTAGTTAAAATTAGATTTCACTATTAGGTTCTGCCACGCTGTAGAGGTGTTTACTCTAAATGCTTCATGGAAATGTCTCAGCTGAGATGCCGTAGCAATGGCTGCCATGTTGTTCTTTGTGTCTTACTGTAATTTTCAGACAGGTTCCAGTTTATAAAGTATTTCATTTGGTCATCTCTGAAACAGTTACTGAGTTTTCCTTTCTAAGAGTTTCTTTTCAAAACTGTGGCACTAAAATGGTCACCAAATTTTGATCTTTTTTTTTTTAACCTGTCAGGAAAAATTTAAATTGTCTTGCTGGGCTGTGGGCGAGGACCCCCTGGAGGAGACCTGGTGCCATGTGTGATTTGCTTTTTCTTTGTTGTACAGAGCTGGAGTGGAAATTGTCTGAGTCGGGAGCAATCAAGACAGACCTGGAGGAGAACCCCAAGAAGCCCATCAAAGACATGTTGCTGTCCTCAGTGCGAGGCCCTGTCCCCATGAGAAGGGACAGCGATTCTGAGGGCGACTGAGATGGCCACTGTGACCTTTTGAACTTTCTCGATATGACATATTGTATGAATTTTTACTGAGGAGGAAAAAGCAAAAAGTTTTCATATTTTAGTTTACCCTTTTTATAATATTTAAATTTTGTACATTTCAGAAATAATCATCACTGAAAATTTTATTAAATTCCTTGAAACTCTGAATTAGTAATGTTTTGTTAAGAAAAATTTAAATAAGCTTTATGCCAGATATCTGTTCTCCTACATGTATTTCAGCAAACGGTTCAGTGTTTTTTTTTGACATGCAGCTGTGTAGGAAGGAATATGGAATTTTTAAAAAAAATAATGTGAATAAAATAAATAAAATAACTGCAAAAGACAAGAGTTTTTATAGTTAGGCTCTTTATTTTCATTTTGAAAAGCTAGCAAAAGAATTACCAGCTAAAATACATATATGAGTAGTCTCCACGTGGGTGAAAGTTCTTAATGTGTGTCCTGTGTGAGGAAATGGCTGATAATGCTTTTGAGACAAACACTGTTTTATCAAATTAGCGACAGATTTCAACTTGCTGCCTCCTTTGTTTTCAGTTAAGTCTGTCTTTTAGTTAAACTAACGTGTTTCTCAGCTGCTAAGATGTCAGCTGTTCTTTGTGGTGGTGGTGCACACCTTTAATCCCTGCACTGGGAGCTCTCTGTGAGTTCAAGGCCAGCCTGGTTTACAAAGTTCCAAGCTAGCCAGGGCTACACCACCAAGACCCGGTCTCAAAAACAAAAACAACACCTCCAAAGATACCGGCTGTTTTTGGCTGAGATCCTATTAGATTTGGTTTCTGGGAAGATGGTTTAAGCGTACATATTTGTAAGCTTCATCTCTTAGTTGACCTGTAAAAAGTTTAAGGATGTTTTCTTGTGAGCCCGAATCCTGTCAAGTTGACATTGATGAAGGAAAACTATCTAATATTTTTGCTGGAGGATGTAGTATGTATAGCTGATTTAGTCTTAATGTAAGAGTCTAAGAACAAGGGCATGGTTCAGATTATAGCACGCGTTGTATTTTTTGTTGTAATTAAAGGGCTGACAGCTCACAGAGCCCTGCTTTGAGTGTGAGATTGCCTGGTTCTCTATTACGTGAGACCCACACTGCTGAATTGAAGCACACCTTTGGGGGTGTTGGCTTCAGAGGTGCTCGTGAGGTTTGAATGACAAGGTTGGGACATTCTAAGGAGTTTGTCACTGTAAAGACCCAGCGTGGCTTGTAGGAGCGCTGCTGCCTTTGAATCTGTAGTGGCCGAGAGCTGGGAAGTTAGACTGCGGTTAGAGCAGCGGTTCTCATCCTGTGGGTCAGGACTTCTTTGGGGGTCGCATAGCAGATATTCTGCCTATCAGATGTTTACATTATGATTCATTACAGAGCAAAATTCCAGTTATGAAGTAGCAGTGAAATGATTTTATGGTTGGGGTCATCCCAACAGGAGGAAAGGTCACAGCATTAGGCAGATTGAGAACCACTGCCTTAGAGCCTGAGTTATTACACGAGAAAAAGAGGGCTGTACCTAGATGCAGGCAGTGTGCAGTGGTGGGGGCTGCAGGCTTGGCCCTTCTGAGGAGCCCAAGCAGGACCGACACTAAGTCGCTCTTCCTCTTTGCTCTGCTGTGACCACTGCCTCCATGCCAGATAGCGACCTGTTGACTGACAGACGCAGTGATGGCAACAGCTCTGTGGTCTTGGTCAGGGAACTCGGTCTGGCACACAGCAGCTGTTCAGCATCTGTCTGCTCTTGCTCCAGCAGCCCCATCATCCTAAACTGGGATTGTGACAAGAGCCTGAGCTGGCAATGTCTGTGGTTTAGCTAATTCTGGGGTTTATGCCCAAGGCATTTGTCACCCCCCTCTGCTGCCTTTATCACATTTAGATGCGACAAGGGTGTGATACTTTTTGTAAACGTTTAAATTTTTTTTTTAATTTATCCTTTTTACTTAGGTGCGCTTGCCTGCAACTTATGGGTGCAGGGGCGAGCCCACAGAGGCCATTGGATCCTCTGGAACTGGAGGTACAGTTATGGGCTGCCATGTGGATGCTGAGGACCGAACCCATGTCCTCTGCAAGAACAGAAAGCCCTCTTGACCACCGAGCCATCTCCTTAGCCCAGAAACTTGCTTTCTAAACACAGCGGTCATCTAATGGCACAGCAGGAGATGGAGGTGAGTCTGGAGGGTCTTGTCATTTCAGAAGGTACCAAACCTCTGGACAAAGGGAAAAAAATACCCAGACTACAGTGATGGGCATATATTGCTGGATAGGTCTCTGGAGCCATGGAGTAAATCTGACGTCATAACCGTGAACCATACTGATAAATGACTGCATACAGAGTGGGAAGGAAGGGAGCCAACCCCAGGAAGAATCCCCAGGTAGCTTAATGTAGTCTTTATGGACAGTTTTCAAAGTGCTGTGGGGGTGGTGGTGCTGAGAAGGCCAAAGGTCGAAATCAATGCCAATCTTGCAGGCAACAGGAAGTCAACTGGGACACTGGTATCCTGAGCATAGGAAACCTCAAAGCCCTCCCCCACAATGGCACACTTCCACCAATAAGGCCACACCCACTCCAACAAGGCCACACCTATTAGTGCCACTCCCTGTGAGATTATGGGGCCAATTGCATTCAAACCACCACATTCTACTCCCTGGTCCCAATAAGCTTGTAACAATATAATGTACAATTCATTTAGTCCCGCTTCAAAAGTCTCATAGTCTATCACGATTTCAACAGCGTTTTAAAGTCCAAAGTTCAAAGTCTCTCCTGAGATTCATGCAGTCTCTTAACTGTAATCACCTGTAAAAATCAAACTCAAAAAACATCACATACTTCTGACATACAATGACATGGGATGCACATTACCATTCCAAAAGCTTGAAAGGGAGCATAGGGAGGAAATACATGGGCCAAAGCAAGACTGAAAATAGGCTGGACAAACTCCAAACTGCATCTCCATGTCAGATGTTAAAATGCTCCTCAAATTTCCAACTCCATTCAGTTTTGTTGACTGCAACACCCTTCTTCCTCTTCTGCTTCCACTCCCTGTTAGCAGCTCTCCTCGGCAGGTATCCGCAACTCTGGCATTTCTAACATCTTGGGTTTTCCAAGGCAACCCAGGCTTCAACTTCATGGCTTTATTCGATGGCCTCTCAACTAGGCCCCCATTCAGGGACACCCATGATACCTGGCCTCACCGGCTTTAGGCATGGAGGCAAATTCCATAGCCCATTTTCTTTCTATCCTTAACTCTCAAGCCAGAACCACATGGCCTAAGCTGCCAAATTCTGCTGCTTCCTGGGACTGAAGCATGGCCCCTCCATTCTGTTATGTCCTCACCAGTTCTCTGTCCTTCACTTCCTGAGCTTGACTGTCCTGAAACTGGATCTCTAGGCCAGGCTGCCTCAGACGCCGAGATCTGTCTTCCCAGTGCAGGTATTAAAGGTGTGCCCCACTACACCCCTCTCTAAGCTTTTCTTCGTTTCTTTCTACAGGTTGGAAACGTAGCCCCTCGGGATCTTGCTCCGAGGTCACCACGCCCTTTATTTCCTTGTTTAAATCCGTTTATCTCCTTGAACACAGGATTTAGCTCCATTCTACTTCCTGCTTCTCTGTCTCCTCAAAATTTACATTTTGTAATTTACCCGGCTCAGCTAGTACCTTTTCATTAGAGTTAACACTAACAACCACACAACAGAGTCTATACTAGGCTGTCTTGAGATTTCTTCTGACAACTGAATTAATCCAAAACTTCTCTTTAAACCTCAGGCAGACTCTTCAGACAAGGGCAAAAAGCAGCCGCTTTGTTCACCAAAATATGACAAGATCAGTCTCTAGGCTACATGCTAACATTCTTCACCTCTGAAACTTCTTGAGTGAGCACCTAGCAGTTCAAATAACCCTTAGCACCTCTGTCTTCCATGCTCCTACTATTAATATAAGGTCTATTAAGCAGCAATAAAAGCATTCCCCTGATTTCATAACCCAAAGTATTAAATAAAGTACAAGTTCCTCCAAACAAAAACATGGTCAGGCCTATCACAGCCCCCAGTCCCTGATACCAACTTCTGAACCTCTCTTGCCTATTAAGATACTGGTGCTTTCCAGATCTCACCAGCAGGTGGCTCACACTGACTACTTAATCCCAATTGCTAGGGCCAATGAACCCTTTCAGGTGTACCACGACTTCACAGATGCTAAAAATGAGAGCGAATGTGCTGTGAGTGAATGGTGTAGATTGAGTCCGGGGTGGTAAAATGAATCAGCTTATTTTATTTTAACTTGGCCACTCCAGCTTTTAGACTTTAACCCTCTGTGTCTGTTTATTAAGTTTATTAAACTTTAGCGTGCTGAGGATGCCAGCTCACGTTGTTACAGTCCCTTGACTACTTGTTAAAGTGAGTACAATGTCCTAAAGAAAGAGTAAAACTTTAGCTAAGTAACTTTCTGAGGTGGCTTCAGACAGTTATGAAGATCTGTCGCATACCAATGGGAATGCGTCAATTATCAGATCTCTTGATGGCTAAAGCTGGAATGATTTGAGCCACGCAGCAGATACGAGGGATAAAGTAATTACACAGTATCTACTATATGAACGCATGTGCAGGAAAAAGTTGAGTAACAAATGGATGGGTTGGCTCAGCGCAACTTTGTTTCTGGTGGAGTTTGAGACATCTGCAGGATAAGTTATTCTCACCCAGAGCCAGCACCTAGAGGGAATGTTCTATTGAGAGCACCTCATCGGGGCAGTAGGTGGGCCACCTCCAGGCCCTCTCCTTTACTGACTCCGATTTGATTTCCCAGTTCTCTTGGGAACCCAGTGTGAGAAATGAATGGTTTGGTTCCCAAACTTCCCCAACCTTCTACGGTAAGTTTTCTGGAGCTAGAGATACTGTAGGTTTTTGTTTGTTTGTTTGTTTTTCTAGAGAGTGTTTCTCTGTAGCTTTGGAGGCTCTCTTGGAGCTAGCTCTTGTAGTCCAGGCTGGGCTTGAACTCAGAGACCTCTGCTTCTGCCTCCCAGAGTGCTGGAATTAAAGGCGTGCCACCATGGCCTGGTGATACCCTAGGTTTTAAGGGCAACAATGTTACATATTTTCAGTACAGCTCTAGGTGAGCTGACAGTTTCAACACGAGTTTGTGCCACTTTGGACTCTGTCACATCTTTCCAAAGCA